AAAAAAAAAAAGAAAAAAGGAAAAAAGCGCAGCATTTTCACTAGGAAGACAAATGGACTCTATTAGAAAATTAAGTGGTGCTCCTACAACATACAGTTTTTTCTCGGTAATGGAGATGTTCCTCAATAAAGTGAACTGTGGTGCGAAGCAAACAATTTAGGGCCATATACTTATTTATCTGATTCAACAGCATTTGCTAAATGTCAGCGTTTTTGCTAGCAGCCTTTTCTGTAGCCATCAGAGTGGTAACAAATCCTGATTCCCCAGCAACAAACAATGCACAGAGTAGGGCAGAGGGGAGGAGACTGCTGAGGGGACAGAAAAAAAGGTATTTAAACAGTTGTGTTTGCTTTTCTGTAAAAAGAAAATATCTTGGAGATCTCTCTTCTGCCTGAACACTGGCACTTTGCAATTGCTGCCAACACAAACCCTGCAAGCAAGCCAGCTGACATCAGCTGACCAAGGACATCGTGGGACTTTGGGCGTTTTATCCATTCCTCTTCGCACAGGCAGCCTTTTGTCTGGGCTGTTTGACCGAAACAAACCCATGAGTAAAAGCTGAAGCCTGCCTGTGGAAGGCGTGCTTAAGTTGGTGTGATCTAAGATACACAGCACCACAAGTTACATGAGCTGAGCTCAATCAAGATCAAACCAGGTTTGCAACCTCTCTCTCTCAAATAGAATGGGGGTTTTATTATTCTGGGTACGTTCTGGGGTACATGCATAAGGGAACATTATCTCCATTGCTGCCTGGGGCTTCACCGCCAACGTTTGTGAGAGGAACCCAACAGGACATGTGATCTGTAAGATATTTTCGCTGGAGATGGCCAGTTCAGTCTGGCCTAGACTGGTGATGAGGAAAAGCAGGCTCATGTCCTTGCCTAGATTAAATGAATTGCATCATTTCTGTATAGCTCAAGCAGGCAATTGTTTGCACCACAAAACTTGCTTCTGAAACTGGCTCCTTAGCTGGCAGGTGGAGGAAATGTTAGGGACTGAGGCTGTGGCTGCAGTGTCTTTGGTATGAGATCTGTGCACTCTCAGGTCAGAATAAATGTGGCTTGGCTCAGACGTGGGACACAAAGTCGTATTTCCCAGAGTCGTACTAAGCAGATTTCACAGTACAGACGTAAAGTCCATTTTATGATTTTATGCTCACTGGAAGGGGATGCATGGAAGTGCGTATGTAAAGACAGGTAAGTCAGGCGATACCTGATGGAGAACAAAGCCTTTTGGAACCAAAATTAACATGGTCAAATTTTTGGAACCAAAAACCAGAACCAGCAGAAAGGATTTAGTGCGGATCAACACTCCACATTGAGTGGCTCTGCTGGTTTCAGTCTGATAAAAGCTGGATGTCATGTGTTTTCAGGCTGTATCTTATGAAACTTGTCTGTGACAGACTCTTGCAGAGCAGGCTGAGGCTGTGGGGAGCATGCATGCAAACGCCAGTGAGCTATACTGGTCCCACAGAAGTCCTGGGCGATGTTATTCTGGCTCTGTGCACCGAGCAAGCTGTTCACCTTACCCTTGTCCTGTGCAGAAGGTGCTGTGCAGCTCGAGAGATGGGAAATGAAAATGCTTTTTGCCTCGGTCACTATGTAGAAATCAGGCACAAGCCCAGAGTGAGTGAAATCGAGATGCTGTCTGCTGGCAGTGGCGCTGCTTTCCAGCAGTGGGCTTGGGGAGCTCCACGCTCGCTGCCTCGACTTGTTTGACACCAGGCTGGTCCCTGCAGAGGAACAAGGGTCCCACCACCAGCACGGACTGTGCCAGTCACAAAGGAAGCCAAAGGTGCCTGTGACATCCCAGTTAAAGGTGTGTAGCCTGGGTTTAAAATGCTCATGGGAATACTAAGTTCAAAGCACTGGCTGAATCAAATTCTTCTTTAAGTTGGTAAGTTTATAGCTGCATCTTAACCACTATTATTTTTATTTCCACATTCCTATTTTCCAGAGACCCTGACTTTGGGGAAAATCAGACCAAAATCAACATGGAGGTCTGTTCCCATCTCTATACAATAAGCCTATTGCACAAATCAGGGCATTCCTTGGAGCACACAACAATTGTTTCCTTTCACATCACTCAAGCAAAGGCTGTTTGAATATGAGCCCCATTGTAACACAAAATAAGTATGTCCATGGAAATTCAAATCTTGAGAAATTAAATGTTTGGATCCTCACTGACACACTGTAAATGCATTTGAAACATTCTGGTTTCCTAGGATAAGAGCTACATAATTAAGCTAAGCCTTTCACACTTTCTCTTTTAGCCCGTTGGATTTATTTACCAAAAATCATTGCGTAGATACACCCAGCAAATGTCTTAGAGAACCGTTTGTAACTAAATTAAATGCTTAAATATAGAGATTCTCTCCTCCCTAATTTCTGCCTTTATTAGAACTGAGAGTTGCTCATACTTCATCCCTTGCAGACTCTTTAAATCCTGTTTGACATTTTGAGTGTGCCGTGCAGCTTCTAATACACATTACACAAAAAGAGCTATTATAAAATTCCTGATTTTTTTCTTGTTTGGATGACAAAGGGGGAAAGGCAAATCCTCCAATTGGACCAGATAATCACTCTCCTGTGAAAAGCCTACAATCCACATCCTCTGTTTTTCTTCTTAGCTGAGCTTCAACTCTGTTTGGTCAATAATTTTATTTTCTGTGTGAAGCCCATAAATCACCTTCCAATACACATTGGACAGTGAAGAGTCCTGGTAGATGAGACATCAGCCACGGGAGAAGCCACATCGGATCCAGGACAGCCGGGTTCTGCTGGAGCAATCAGGCATTTTCATTTCATATAATTTTTTTTTTTTTTAAGAGCCCTCACTACCTAGTAGGACCACTCTCCGGAGCAAAGACTAATTGGATGGATAAAGGTTTACAGGATCAGGTCTTCTGGCATGATTAAAGAGAGACTATTACAAATCTGTGAACTGCAGTTTTATCCAGGTGACTCTTGCTATATCAGTGTAACAAATTCACTGCTGGAACTGAGTTAGCCAACACTTACAGAGCGTACCTGAAGGAAACTTTGTCAGCCACCTAAAGATTGCTTAGACGCAGTTTGCGACCGAAGCCTCCACAGTTCGTTGTGTGACTGCGTTTGTCCCATCCCGTGCAAGCCAGTGATGTGACATGTAGCTGCGGAGGCAGCCCGGAGGGAACAGTGGGCATACAGAGCCTTACTAAGGGGCTGAGAGGGTCATAAAGATTTCAGCAAAAATACCTTTCCCTCCCCTTATTTGCAAGAGCAGGAGTTTTTGACATGAGTTGAAGCTGAGGCAGTCAAATGAAGTGGGTATTTTTCACTGCTATTTGTGTCTCGGGAATGAATATAGCAGAAAATATTGATTAATTCAGAGGAAGATGCTACACAAAGGGAAAGATTAAAGATTGTACTGCCTTGGGCCATGCACAAACTGTTAGTTTGTAGTTTATGTTTCCATTTTAGCCTTAAAACTCAATTCAACCAAATAAGGTGCCCCTTAAACATCTAATGGAGCTTTATCATATTTAAGTAGATAAGATTCTTAAAAGGTTATAAAGACAAAATGTGCAGTAGCAGAAGTGTGTAGTTAGGCTCTTTCAGGTGGCTTTGTTGCTTTCCTCCATGTACGAAACAGGCTGCCTCAGCTGACACTTGTACTGAGGGCTGAACCACAATGGGGGGACTTCTGTACAAAAGTTCATTACATGGGGTCCTCCAGCCAGACTTTTCTCAGGGCACACCATTCAGCCTGGACATTGGATGAAACCAGAACAGGTTTGGCTCATGCACAGAAACAAATAAAAATCCAAAGATCTTTTGATGCTGAAGACATTTGTATACATGCTCAGGCCCTTCTGTACTTTTTGCTGCTGGAGAGGATGAGAATTTGCCCAAAGTGCCGTGCTCCTTCACACTTTTATCAATCACATTTTACTTTTTTTTCAATTAACTTCTCCTGGGATTGGTTTCAAAAATAGATTTCCACATCTTATGCCAGCAAAGGCCAGGGAAGCAAAGGATGTGAGCTTCAAGTTTAAAGGTTGACTTCAAGGCAAACATCCAACATCCCCCACAGCCTCCAGGTCAGCTTCACTCTTCAGAGGCAACTCTCTACTGTGGCTGTTAACAGCGTTCAAAATACCAATATTATTCACCCATGGCTGTGGAAAAGCAGGGTGGTTTCTGATGTCCATGAAAGGTGATCTGCCTTTATATAAAGCCTTCTTCTTTTCAGTGCAAGTATTATTAATCCCACTGGAATCCATAAAGAGTGATGGGACATTTTTCTAAAATGTCAGGCCTGTACAGCTTCCACTTTCTGTGATTCAGAAGCAGCGTAAAAGGCCATAAACCATTCAGCTGCCATGATTCACCGCCCTGATTCATACGCTCGATACAAATATTCAGAGATCAAAGTGGTACCTACCCCCCAAAAATGATTTCAAATGATTTTTTAATGCTTGCCTTAAAGATAGACTTCCAGCTAAAGCATTATTCTCCTGATTGATATTGGCTGCTTTAGGGAGCAAGTCCCCTGCAGTAAAGATTGACGCTTCCTTTAAGAATCGTACGGTGCAGTACATAAAACAATATACTCTGCGGATGTGTTCCCCCCCCCGACCTAGGCTGAACATGAGGCACTGATCACTCAGAGGTTTCCTGGGCAAAGCTTTACAGGGTATTAAAAAAAGCATGGAAACTTCTTCCCTGAGAAGGAATGTGGAAGCTCCCGTAAACCTTTTTGTATTAACTTTGTGGTAGATGAAGGTGTTAAACTGGCATGTGTCTACTGATGGGGGGAGTGAGCCTTTTAAGTCCTCTGCTTCATCCCCACTTGTGGAATTTGTTGTGCCAGTGGGACGAGGCTGGCTATAAAACCCCGGCACAGGGGACCTCCATCCCGCGCAGGCAGCCTGCCCCCATATCTCTGCTGAGAGCAGCCCCGGGGAGATCCCCCCTTCACCTCTGCTGGGTGGGCAGCTGCTTCGCTGACAGAGGAGGATGGATGCGAGGTTCGCCTGGATGCTCTGCGTGCTCTGCCTGGCTGTCACGGTGCAAGCGTTTACCCAGGAAGGGTTCAAGGAGGTGTTGCTGAAACAGCTGGGACTCTCCGAGGTCCCTAAACTTCATAAGAGAGATTTGGAGGATCTGGTTATCCCAGACCACGTAAAGAACAAATACATCTCCATGCTGAAGCGCCAAAGGGTGAAGCGCCGAGCTTTGCCGAGCCTGGCGGGCATCCTCAGGGGGATCCCTGGCAACACAGGTAACATTTCTGCTGTCGCTGTCGGGAACTCACAAAGCACCATGCCGCTGCCCAGGGAAGCCACGGGTGGGCAGAGGCAAGCTCACAGGGGGAATGAGGTTTGGGTCTGGCTCCAAACCTGAGCCGGGCAGAAGAGGTGCACGTAACAGCATCTTAAAGACTAACACGCACCAGTAACTCCTTGTACCTGGAGAGGGAGGGGGTCCCACGGTCCTTGCAAAGGGCAGGCTGCTGCTGGAGCTTGAGAGAAGAGAAAAGCCTTGGTACCCAGGCAACATTTTGGGCAGGTGGAAAAACAATGTAAAAGAAAAAAAAAAAGTCAGTAGGATGTACAGACCTTGCAGATTTTGGGTCAAAACTCCAGAAAGTCCTCTAATAGGAATCATACCTCTCTGAGGATGTTTCACTCTCACCAGTTTTTTGGTGTTCTGTTTTGGTGGGGTTTTTTTTCAATTGGAGAACTATCAGGGAGGAAATCAGCTGTCCAGACACAATAAGTGTCCATACAAGGACATTTATAGCTTGTTTCACTTTCAAAAGATGTACATAACTCCCTGGGAAGCAAATGAAAACACTTTTTCATTGCAAGCGGTGCAGTTTCCTGCTTTGGTGCCCAGCACTGGCACAGAGAGATGTCTGCTCAATCTGGGGGCAATTTATAAAGGAGATTTCTTCCCCTTGCTGACAGGTTGCAGAGACTCAGGCACAGAATCAAGGCGTTTGCAAGACATTGATTCAAATGTGCATTAGAAAAGGTGTGTTTATTGGCTGCCCCTGCCACAAGGGCTCCATGTGGGAGCATGGAAGGAGTGTGTTGTGATGATAATTGTGGATGGAAGTGGGGGGGATGGCAATGACAGGCTGAATTTTTTGTTCCCACTGGGCACATGGCAGGAGAAGTCCTCTACTCTGACACCACCACGCGCCAGAACCTGATCTTTGACATGGAGGGCAGGATACCCCAAAACAGTGAAGTGACGATGGCTGAACTGAAACTCTTCAAAAAGCCCCTGGACAGAGTAAACCTGCCTGCCAGGCACCCGCACCGGCCCGTCACCAACGCCAGGGTCAGCGTGTACTGGGTGCAACGGCAGCACGATGGCACCAACAGGACATCCCTGATCGACTCCCGGTAAGAAAGGGACCTCTCCTGGTGGCAGGACTCTACTTAGGGGGTATGGGTACTCTGGGCTGGGTTTGGGTGTTACGTGTTTGTGCCTCCGGTCAGTCTGATGGGGTTACATCTGTAGAACCAGGCTCTATAGCCTCTAAACCCAGAATGAGTTGATAAGAGCAGATTTTAGGTTAAGACTGCAATGTATGATGATTAATTGAAATAATCTATTTCTGTTTGAAATGATGCTATGTACTGCTGGCTTCCCCTCTAAAACCCTCCACCTGGCTCACTTCTCTCTTACTCTCTAACTCACATGGGTTACTGGCTGTTGGTATTCTTTCCACTGGCCATTTCGTTAGCTGTTTTAAAAAAGTAAATTATACAAAAAACATCTGATTCTGTTGCCTTGAGCCCTGGGGAAGTTTTACAACTCTTGAAGGTAGAATTAGACATCAATGCAATTTTCTGGATAGGTAGAAACTTACGGCCCTAGTGCAGCTAGGACAGGAGCAGGTGGGAGCAGTGGTGTTTACCAGGAGGTCCGCATGAAAACTGAGGCTGCAGATAATCCTGCACTGCTGTATTTCTGTAAGAGCATGAATGAATACCGTGACATGAACATGCACAAAGGGGTTTATTTAGCCCTTCAGTGTCTGCTACATCTGCATGCTTCTTTCTGTGGTGCTTGCCCAGAGCGCTCAGCAAGAATTACTGTGTAATTAAGGCATGTGACAATCAACGGGAAGCAAATTATTCTGCTGCAATAAGAGCACGGTGAGCCCAGACTTTATTTGATGAGCTTTTTTCTAATGCTGAGCTCTTGTCATGCAGGCTGGTTCCTATACGCGAGTCGGGCTGGAAGAACTTCGATGTGACGCAGGCTGTGCACTACTGGCTGCGAAACAAGAGGCGGGAGCCAATGTTCCTGGAGGTGTGGATTGAAGGAGAAAGAGTAGGCAGCCACGCCTCGGAAATGGCCAAAGCCGTGCGTTTCACCTCACAGGACCCCAAGGATAAAGCCCTAGGCAAACCTGAACTGGTGCTTTACACCCTCGACTTGGAAGACTATGGGTACGTATGAAACCTAAACCTGTGCTGTGGCTGGTGTAATTTTGCTCCTGAATTTTGCACTGTGTGTTTCATGGCTCAGGGCCCGCCTGTGCTATCAACAGGGGGATTATTTCTCCCACCTTCCTGATTTCCAGTTCTTGTTTCTCCCTTGGCATGCAGGGGCCCCGGGGACTGCAAGGAGGAGGCAGCAATGGGGAAATCCACCTGCTGCCGGCACAAACACTACATCAACTTCCGCGAGCTCGCGTGGACGCAGTACTGGATCATTGAGCCGGCGGGGTACCAGGCTTACCGGTGCTCAGGGAGCTGCCTGCAGCCGCCCAGCCCCCTGCGGCGCTTTGGCTACGGCGAGCGCACTTGTGCCGTGACGGACAGCTCCCCGCTGCCCATGATGTACCTCGTCAAAAGAGGCAACCACACCGAGATCGAAGCAGCTGAGTTTCCCAACATGATTGTCGAGAGGTGCAGCTGTGTCACCAACGGCATGGCACTGGTGTGAGACGCGGGTGGCCCACTGGGGATGTCAGCCAGTCCCCTGCTTCCCTGCAGCCCTGCCCAGAGCCACCCTGGTCCTCAGCCCCGGGACCAGCAATAAAGGTCCTGGGGGGACCCTCAGATCCCCACCTCCAAGGGTCAGCAGCTGGGGCTGTGGCTGTCCTGCAGAAAGGGTGCACTTGAAGACATTGTATAGATGGGCTCAGAGGAGCATCCACCTGCACATATACCTATGTCAGGGGCACCTATGGAGCCTAACGCTTCTCAGGGCCCCCTTGATGCTAGACAAATTTAATTGAATTTGGTGGAGCTGTGTCCGATTTCTTTTAGTCCCCACCTCAGAGTATTGCAAACAGCTCCAGGCAAAGGAGGAGGGATCATCACCAGGTGAAAAAGTAATGGGTGGGTTCAGCTTTTTGTTAGGCTCCTGGTTTTGGTCCTTGTCTGTCCAAGTCATTATGGTAAACTTGAGAGCAGAAGCACTTACATGTATATACTGTATACACACACATACACACATGTACATATATATAGTATATGAGTATATGTATGTATTGTCTACATACATATTGGATGTACACATATTGTCTACATACATACACATATGTACATATTGTCTAGAGCTTAAAGGAACATATATGTATGTGCATATGTATAGTATGCATATATACATATATACACATACATAAAATGTAACTTGGAACTCAAAGGATTATATTTTCGGCCCCCGCACCATGGGTTTAGACCAGTTTTAGGCAGAATTTAGAGTCCTGAAGTCAATGGGAATATCAGGACTTAGGTTTGCTCATGCCAGTAACAGTTTGTAGAATCAGACCCTTATTTTTCTGGTTGTGTGTTACCGTTATTTCAATTTAGGGATATTTTCCAAGTTTTGTGTGCTTTCAAACTCAAGGAAACAATAAAATAAAATTATTAAAGTAGCCATGTGTTTGCTTATATTTATTCTTAGGTCGAAAAGTGGAGGGAAAATATCTGTCGTATTTCTGAATGTACCCCAGTGCCCAGCTCCTATAAGCACACCCAGTGACAGCTCTTCTCAGTTACCTGTGCGATCCTGCCTGCTTCTGGTGAAGCCTGGGACGGGCTGAATCGGCAGGCGGGGCAGAGCCCACACCGCCAGCACTTCTCCCTTTAAGCCAACACTTCCTTAAAGAGAAAACCCGGAGACATATCTGCCAGGCAAGAGGGGATGCTTTCCATGTGAGCTGCAGCAGCGCAGTGCCAGAACCTGCAGGCAATCAACTTGGAGCCGGAGTGAGGGAAGAGAAGAGCTGCCCCCTGCCACTCCCTTTCCAGGTGAAGCGTTTTAACCCTCACCCTTCCTTATGGACACGTGACCGACACATCCCCTGGAGAAAAGCTGTGATAATGTGGTTTAATCCCTTTTTGAACTGTACTGAACTGTTGGCCAGGGTGTCATCAATGATGATGATTTCCACACTTTGTGTCAGACTCCTTTCCTGAGCTTGGATCTTACTGAGATACCAGTGGCTCTGGGGATGAAGCGGTCACTGCCGTCTGTCCCTGTGGGACGTGGTCCCCAGACCCTGGCTGAAGTGGCTGCTGGTGGGAGGACTCTGGAATGAGTTTGTCTGGCTAGACTGGGTGGCCATGGGCTATGGAACAGCTGCAAAGAGGGAACTGTTGGACTCTGGTGGCTTTGGGTCTTTCATCAGGAAGGGTGAGGTATCAGGTGGCCCTGCTGCCCTGCAGGACCGCAGGTCTGAGGTCACCGAGGCATCCCTGCCGTCACCTTGCCTGTGGGTAGCCTGTCACCTTTCACTTGTGTAAATGCCTGTGGCAAAAGAAGAGCTTTAAGGGGAGACAAAAAGGCAGAAGCACCAATGCTAGGCACCGAAGGTTACTGGAAGGGGAACTGGATGAGCCAGGTCTCTCTCTGGCCATTTCCTTCTCATGACTATGTAGCATCTATCTTAATGGCATTGGCATTCCAGCCCAGTTCCTCTCCACCCATGAGCTCAGCCATCTCCCCTAAAGAACAAAGCCAAGGATTTACCCACACCTGCTCCTGTGGAAGAAAGTGTTTGAACTGGTTCCTGCCTGAGAACGAAGAGCATTAACCCTGGCTTCCCTCCAGCCTCCAGCACTTGGATTCCAGATGTCATCCCCCAAAGCCTGGGAGAAATCCCACCCAGCGCAACTGGGGCCAGGCTGCTGGGCGAAGCAGGAGGAGAGCATCGCAGCAGGGATGCATGGCCAGGAGCAATGGGGTGGACGAGGGCTGAGCCGCCAGCTCTCCTCCGCCAGGATCCTGCACCATGCCCGGCTCCCTGTGCTCTGGTTTCCTGTGGACACAAGGTACCTAAAAGCGAGTGGGGGGTCTGTGTGAAGGTGTGGGAGAGCTGGGGGATATGGGGAGGGGGGAGGCGATGGCCAAGGAGATCCGGGGTTCCCATCTCTTCATACCCACGGTCTGTGCCCCCATCTCTTCCCAGCAGCTGCACGCAGGACCTCCTGGGGACTCCCTGGACCCTCCCTGCCCCAACCAGGGATCACACAGCATCACCCTCGTCTGTTAAAGTGGCTGAAAAATTAACCATCTCAATTAAAAATTAACCAGTTGTGCTATTGTCCCAGTATGATGGATGCTGCAGCTAGTTTTTAACCCACATTTGGATTGAAACTGCCCACTTTTGGGTGAAAGGATGCTACTCTTCAGACTCCAGCTGGCTTTGCAGAGAAAAGGCAGCAGGCTCAGAGGTCAGGCTGATACAGGGAAGGCTCCAGAGATTCTTACAGCACAAACTCCTAGGTAGAAGGCTGTGGATGAAATCCTACCACACCTGGGGCTTCCTCAGACATCAGCCTGTGCTGCAGGAAATTATCTCCTGGCCTGACATCTTCAATCCAGGCTGTGTTTGCTGTGATACCTTCCGTGTGCTACCTCCCTGCTTTCTGTCGGTACAACTTGTAAGACGTACGAAGGCTGTCAAGCTGTCGTGTTATCCTTTCCGTCTGAGCGGCACCACAGCCTCTGAGGAAAGGCAGAATATCATCTGTACCTGGCAGCAGCGTGGTTCGGCATTAACATTTATGCTGTTAAAAAAAAAAAAAAAGGAAGCACAGTGCAGCGATGTGACGAACCACATATGAGCAGAAACTATTTCAAAAAAACTTAGAGATATTTTAAAACAAAACCAGAGTTAAAACACCGGCATCCTGCTCTGTGAAGGCACAGAGCATTCCCACGGTGCTCAAGGGGAGGGAGGTGTGTGATGTTCATGTTAAGGGCTTCAAGAGCCCTGTTAGTGCCATGCTTAAAGTTAAGCTCTTGTGTAAGGTTCGCAGTGTCAGCATGGCCAGGTTAAAGCTCATCATTTCCTCTCCCTTTCCCCCCCCCCTCCCGCCTTTGCATTTCACAGACTCCTAACAAGAGTGTCTGACACTTTGCCTTTCAGGGCAGCCTTCTAATTGCTGGTAAGTGGAAAGCAGGATGCCCAATCCACATCCCAACAAAGGTGATAATCAGGGAGCTCCTCTGGCTTTGGCTGGGAACAGCTGGAGTCTGGGAAAGGGGAACACGGGGCAGTCAGAAGGGGGGAGGCTGAGATCCCACAGGACTTTGATATTTTTCAAGCAGCCTCTTAACAGTCTCAACATCTCCTATTTTTTTGCCGTTAATTTAATGTGAAATTAGGTCCCATACAAAGTGCTGAATTTGCATCCAGGAACTCCTCCGTCTGTTCCTGGAGCAGGTGCAGAAGAGCAGCACATACAACGTCAGCACATTTCAAAACACAACAGAATAAAAAGCTATTCACAACTGCTGCCTTCTGGTGCTCCAGAGCTGCATGAGTGCTGGGATCTCCAGCAGCTAAACCAGCAGGTACAGAACCACAGTAGGCAACAAGAAGCTGTTATCAATGAAGGCACTTTCGCGGCTAAAAAAAAAGTTAAGATTTTATTTTGTTCGTAGGTGGAGAATAAGCAAGCAGCGCTGGACGCGAGGGGAGCATCTGCTCTACCAACAGGCGTACCTTTCCACAAAACCTATCCCTCTATTTATTCCCCAAAATGTTGTATATCCATCAAGTTTTCGCAATACATTCTTTCATATGTATCTCCCAGCCCCGCCTAGCCCCGTCTCTTATTATA